TACCCTGGGGTAGTTTCTACAAATACCTATGCCCCCTGGGGAGGAAATTCTGCCTGACACACAGGGAAGAGGTGTCTCTGTTTTGAGCCTCCTGTGATGTCACAGGTCATGGTCACCCCTTGGCCATGGGTACCTGCCTCAGGCTGGACTTGTGCTTCTGCCACTGTTGCTCTGAGTTCACTGTAATCTGGGAAGGTACATCCTCTCCAGTGTAGGGACCTTCTAGGCATGAGGGGAGTCCTGTCTCAGCTCTGCCTTTTATTAGCTCTGTCGCCCTAGACAAGCTTCTTAGCATTATTCAGTTCCAGGCTCCTCATTCATCAGATGTTGCAGTTGTGTGGCCTCATGTCAGGGCTGTGGTATTTAAATTAGTTCAGTGCCTTAATCTTGTAGCTATTCAGTGTGGATTTTAATCTCTCTAGCTCTTCCAGGGCAGCCCTCTTCCCCCATTCTCAAAGCTCTCAATCTCAGAGTCTCAATTAGGCTGGATTTGAGGTAAAAATCACTAAATCTAGCTTCTTTTCTTAGGGGCACAGGATGAATCTTCACAAGGCAAGATGCTGAGTGGAATCGGGGGCTTCGTTCTGGGTCTGCTCTTCCTTGGGGTGGGGCTGTTCGTCTACTTCAGGAACCAGGAAGGTAAGGAGCTTATTGGCAGCTAAGACTCCCTATAAACTATTTAGAGGGAAAAAAATGTATATGGCTTTGCTCAGTTAGTTGTCTGTATATCAATGACCCTGCATAAAACCTCCCTTTACCTAGTCAACCTCGCGTTTCTTAGAAATCCAGAAATCCACAGTCCATGGTTACTCACGGGTGAAGCATAAGAGGTAATGGTCTGTAGAGATAAGAGAAGCATTAACACGCATGGAGATCTCAAGCAGAGATCCTGGGACAAATGAAGGAAAGGACAGGAGGGCTGATCACATTACACTGGATTTGTGTCACAGGAACTTCATGGCTCACATGCGCTCAGTGTCTGCTCTCCTCTCTGCCCAGGCATCCTGTGATGTGGGCTGTGGTGTTTCAGAAGTCTTGGGTGGGGGTCAGGTGCTGGGAACATTGTATCTGAGGACAGACTTGCCTCCATATCTTCTAAGTATATATCCTCCCTTCTCTTTCCCAGGACACCTTGGACTTCAGCCAACAGGTAACGCCCTCTAATCTTCTTTTGGAGATAGATTTGATCTCTGAGAACTGATGGTAGAGATGACAAGATAGGAGACAGAGAAAATGAGAAAGACTGAATTCTACTCAGGCAGTTTGCAGTAAAGCTTTTCACCAATTGGTAAGAGGCTTGAGCTGTAAAGTCACTTTAGTTCAGGGAGATGTAAGAATTATTTCCCCTCCTTACTGCAGTGCTTTAACATGAGGCCCTAAGAGATGGGGGTGAAAAGGCTGCTTGTAGAGTTGGGTCTGGAAACAACACTGTCTTTTGTCTCCTGCAGGACTCCTGAGCTGAAGGGAAGATGATGACCCTCAAGCAAGAACTTTCTGTCCCAGCTTCTTCAAAGCATCAAAAAGTTTCCAACTTAGTTCTTATTCTTCCACAAAGATAAGACTTTCTCGGGATCTGGTTTGCTCCTGTTTCAGTGACCCTGCAGCAAGTGTCCTTCTTGATGGCTTCCTCCGCCCTACCCTTGACCTGGAAGCGGCAGCACTGATTGCAGCGCCTTATCTCCATTCTTTCCCGGGCCTCTCTGTTTACCCTGGCTGCTTTCTGCGCATCTGAGCTCACCTGCTGCCCACATTGCTTTGTATGTATTTTCTCAAATACACAGAGAGTGAAATCATCTACTTCATACAGCTTCAATGACAAGAAGGAGAAGGAAAAGGGGAAGGGAGAATTGCATCACGAAACAAAAATCATTTTCACTTATGTTCCTGAATTTTGGTCACATGTGATCTGGAAGGTTTCTTTGCTTCATTCCCTGTTTTTGCTTAGGTTTTCTAAATTCTGTATTTAGGCATGTTTCCCTGGGCTAGGAGAAAGCTCTGACTGAAAGGCAGGCTTTGCATCGTCAAAGACAAACACACAGGCCCCTTCACACCATGGAATACAGGAAAGAACAACAGCTATAAGAAATACAGGTAACTTGTCAGGATGTGATGCCTTCAATCACATTTTGGGGTCTCTTTTTCCCTGATTTTTTTTTAAAGAAAATATCTAAACCTGAGTCCTTCTAGAACTTCCCTTTTGCTAATTAAGGGTAGCCTTCAACACCTCAGTCTTTTTTCCCATCTCTTGAATCAGCAGCATGCTGACTCTTTGTCTTGGGATGTCGTCAGTGCTCTCAGAAGCTGTCAGCACAAAGCCACTGTAGTGGAAAAGATGCATTTCTGAGCCCCACCCCCAGGTGGTGTCACAAACTCCATTATAGGAGAATCCGGTGTGGATCTTACTTTAGAAGAAATCAGAGAAAAGGCTGGGAAACAAAAAGGGAATGTGTGACTACACTGATCTAAATAATGAAGGACCCTGCTGCTGGGGGGTAGGAGAGATGAGAAGCTCTCTATACCCTGCTGTGGAATAATCTCCAAAATATATTTGGAGCAAGGTACAAGAGAGTGTGTATAGTATACAACATCTTGTTTAATAAAATAGAGGAGAAGAATAGGAATGTATGGCTATACCCACTCTATTCTGTCCTCTTCTATTCTACTGACCTGTATATGTGGAAAGGATGGAAGGTTTGTAAAAATGGTTGCTTATAGGACAGTGAGAAAAGAGGTTGTAAGGAACAGAGTGAAAGCTTGACTTCTCTGAATATATCTTATTTAATCATTTTAAATTGAGGAACATTCAGATAGTTTATGTAATAAAAATTTAATCCAAAAGATTAAGAAGGCAATACATGAAAACTGAGAATGGGCAATCAGAATTGAAACAAACTTGACAAAACGTGTGTGATGGAAAGCAAGCTAGAGAAGCAAATCAAAGAAATCTTTGACCCTCATATGAAACACTTGGCAACTAGTAAATCAGTATATAATTCTAAATTCCAAAGGCTTCAGTAATATAAGTAAATTATTATATTAGAAGTAATTTATGCAATATAAATTATAAAGTAGTTGGATAGGTTTCACAGAAGGGTGACTAAATTGGCTAAGCAAATGGAGGATTCTGCTGTTTTGTTCCATTTGAAGAGTCAGTTTCAAATGGAAGGCAGTCCTGAGAGGTGATTAAAAGTTTATTCCGAAGTGTTCGTCATTTGAACACAATTCCTTCACTGTCAGAGACTATTATTCTACCTTTAAGCATATTCAGTTTATTTTTTGAATATCTTAATTGCATCATATATTATTTGTGCTAAACAAGTCATCGTGCTATAGGAATTGAATAAGGTGATAGTCATGTCTGCAATATGCATACAGTGGAGATAAGTTTTGTTTGATCCCAGAGTTACAACTTTACTCTTGCTTTATCTTCTGAGATGAAATGATTTCTCTCCTTTTATTTGAAGCCTGGTGTGATATTATAAGGGGGAATTAAAATGTATGGTAGGAATAGTTCAATGAAGATGTTTTCTCTTGCTAGTAGCAGAAAAAATCCAGTCAATCTGACTTTAATTTTTTACGTATTATTTTGCATAGCAGATGGACCCCAGGTAGGGCGTCTCCAGAGTTTGTCAGTTTAGCTGTCCAGTGGCGTCACCCGTGGCCCCAGGACCTTGTCTCATCCCCTCCTATTCTTAGCATTTCAGCTTTCCTGAGGTGGGGGTAGGGCACCTGCAGCCGTTGGGACTTCGTATTCTCACAACAACTTCCGAAGGCAGCAAAAGGGACCTATTTCTTCTCATGTGCTCTTTTCTCCCAGGCCCTATTGAGATATAATTCATATACAAAAACTACACTTAATTAATGTATAAAATTTGAAGAGTTTGAACATATGCATATGACTCAACCACAATCAAGGAAATAAACATATCCATCACCTCCAAATGTTTCCCTGTGTTCCCCTGCCTTTATTGTGGTAAGAATATTTTACATAAGATTCTACCATCTTAAGAAATTTTTAACTATACAAAATGCAACTTAATTTTTTCCAGCATGTGATATTGTGGTTTATAAAATGAAATATATATTTGGTCTTTGTCCCCATTCCTGGCACAGAGCTCCTAAACCCTTGGAATTTCATAACTAAGGAGAAGACAAAGATGTCTCGTTGTATTAATGAGGTGACACGTGGACCTCACTTAAGGGTGGGGGCTGGTTTTCAGGAGACCGAAACATGTGATCAGAGGGTTGGAACTTTCAGACCCACCCTCTTGACTTCTGGGAGAGAGTGCTTGGAGGTTGAAAGGTCAATGAGTTAATCAGTCATAACTATAGCTACTTCAGTTTGGAAACAAATATAACATAAAATGGGATAATTTCAAACAACAGAAGCACAAAAAAGGAAGAGAAAAATACAGAAGCCATATAGGAAAATGAAGATAAGATGCTATCAGCAGGAAAAAAAGACTATTTTACCTATGAGACGTTTTATACCCACCTCATGGTAACTACAAAACAAACGTAGAGCAGAGACATGAAGAATTAAAAAAGGGGAAACTGAGGAAAACATCCTCTAAAACCACCAAACTAAAATGGCAGACAGAAACACAAGGGAAACAAAAACATGGGAGATACAAAAAAAAAAAAGAAGGAAAACAAAAGACAGAATGGCAGGACTATGTCTTATCTATCAATAATCACCCTAAATGAAAACAGATTGAATTAACCAATCAAAAGAACCACTACTCTGTTCTCTGTATCTGAGCATTTTTTTGTTCATTTGTTTTATTTGTTTTTTGCATTCCACGTGTGTAAAATCGTACAGTATTTATCTTCCTCCATCAGACTTACTTCACTTAACAGCATGCCCTCAAGGTCCATCCATGTAGTTGCAAATGTCAAGACTTCATCTTCTTTATGGCCAACTGTATTCCATTGTATGTATGTGTTTATCTATACCACATATCACATCTTTTTTAGTCTGGTCATCTGTTGATGGGCACTTAGATTGTTTCCATATCTTGGCTACTGTAAACAGTGCTGTGCTAAATGCATGGGGAGGCATATATCCTTTTGAGTTAGTTTCTTCGTAGTCTTTGGATAAATACTCAGATGTGGGAGGAAGATGAAAGGGGTAAAAGGGATCGACTGTGTGAAGACGAATGGAAACTAAAATTTTGCCAGTGAGCATGCTCTAGTGTGTACAAAAGTAGACATATGTAAGGTTTTAACATAAAACTTATATAGTGTTATAAACTAATGTTAACTCAATAAAAAATGTAAAAAGAAAAAATCTATAAATTTACTAAAAACATTACATTTTACATGTACAAAGAATGAATTTGTGGTAAGTAAATTATACCTCAAGAAACCTGTTAAAATACACTTTTTTAAAAGAAAAAGAGTCTTCCTAAGCAAGACACAAAATTGGGAAGACATAAAGAAAAATATGTATCTCAATAAAAATTAAAAATTTATTTGCATGGATAAAATAAATTTTAAAGATATGTAAAACTCAGGAAAACTTTGCAACATACAAGACACTGGGTTAACTTTCTTATTATGTAAAATTGCCAACAAATCAATAAATACATGAGGAAAAATACACAACAGAAAATTGGGCAAAGATTTAGACTATTTACAGAAAAGAATGTATCAAAGGCCAATAAACATAAAATGTGTACTCAAACACACCAATAATCAGAAGAAAATATAAATTCAAATAACGTGATGTAATATTTCTCCCCAAAACTGGCAAATAAAATAGTCTGGTTTTTAAATCAAGGATTTGGAAGATTCCATGGAAAGGATTTTCTCACGTGTTATTAGTAGCGTCATGAGTGGCAGCTTGAAAGTATCTATTAAAATTATAAGTGCAAATGTTACATGATTGACAATAAAATCCACATCCGTATACCTGCTATGTTCTGAATGCTTGCGTCTCTACAAGAGGTGTATATGGAGACTAAGCCCTAGTGTGATGGCATTAGGAGGCAGGGCCTATGGGAGGCAGTGAGGTCCTGAAGGTGGAGACTGCATGGCTGGGATTAGTGCACTTAAAGGGCCAAAGAGGTCAGAGTTCTTCCCTTTCCACCACGTGGGGAAACACTGAGTTGCTGGCAGTCCTCACCAGAGCCCGACCTTGCTGAGGGCTCCCAAGAGATGAAAGGAACAGCTACGAGGCTTCTTTAAACTTGGCCTCAGAACTTGTGTGGCATCATTTTCACCACATTCTAATGGTCTAAGTGAGTATAGGGTCAGCCCAGGTTAAAGGGAATGGGAAACACAATCTTTGTCTTCATGAGGTGAGTGGCAAATACTTTGTACCCATTTTAATCTACCCCATACAATTTACCAAAGTGGCCTCAAAAAATTAACAATCTGTATAGTCTCACATCTGATTTAAAAAATTAAGAGTATAACAATTTCATCCCTCAAAGGAAATTCAAGTCCCAATTTGCTTCAATGTTAAATTCTACCAACTACTTTCAATCTGTCTGAAATCGATTTTATTAATGATTAGAGTAAGTGTCACAG